GGTTCCAGTTAATAAAATTCAAGTCAAAGCAAATAATACTACTAATGCACCAAACAGTTCTCTATCTGGTGAAAGTCTTACAACACAGAGTGTTGTTATTGGTTTAAGGAGATGTTGCGAGCAACTACTTACTAGACTGGAACCCATAAGGGCTACTTTGACCAATCCAACGTGGGAGGAATTAATAAAAGCAGCTTACAACGCTGATGTGGATCTTCAAGTTCATGGTTTCGCGGGCGCTACTGATACACAAACATACAATGTATACGGTATTGCATTAAGTGAAGTAGAAATCGATTGCTTGACTGGAGAATATGAAATACTTAGAGTGGACTTACTACAAGATGTTGGTTTAAGCATTAGCCCTGAAATTGACGTTGGACAAGTGAGTATAAATGTTATAGCTAGTATCTATCTTTATATTACTTTATTTCAATTAATTTAAAACTTCTATGAGTTAAAAATACAGGTGGTTAAAAAAACGTGTCATATACCTCAAATAAATTAAATTTTATTATCTTGTTTGTTCAAGGTCGAAGGAGGTTTCATCATGGCAATGGGTTATTGGACATATGAGAAGCTGGTGTACGACCCTGAAACAGGCAAATTGTTAACAAATCGTACGTGGAATTACTACGTGCCTGAAATGAGGGATATCCCCCAGAAATTCAATGTTTACTTTAAAAAAAACTCTTTCAGCAATGATGTTATCCTGGGATCAAAAGGTATCCATACTTATTTTATAAATGTGAAAGTTGTTGAGTTTTTTTGTTAACCGCGATAACTGATATTCACACGGGCGGAGCAGCGGGCAAAAGCTTGTACTATATAAATTTTAGCTACAATTTTTTGAGTTGCTTACTTTCTAGGCACAAGAAATCAAGAAATTGAATAAATAACGGATAATATTTTATTTCCTTGATACACTTTTAAATCAATATTGATGACTGCACGGATGGCGTAGTGGTTTAAGCGGTCGCCACGCTGCTCCCTCTTACACCGAGTGTTGTGGGTTCAAACTCCACATGGAATAACACTTTATGTGATCCACAAATTGTTGTTCTGAGTCTGGGTGTACTTTGTGTCCGTTTCATGTATGTTTGTGAAGTCCCCCGCGACACAGGATTTATTCCTAGTGCGGGAGTTGGCTTTAAAAAAAAAAAAATGAACAAATCAATCATCACATAATCAATAATGATTATAATTAATAATATAATAATACATGGCACACATAGTTACCATGATTGTATCCTACTATATTAATTACAAACAAAACATTCTACTGTATATATGGTTGTGTTATCTTCCACTTTCCCAAACAAGCAACAATTTGTGGTTCTCACAAAGTGTTGTCCCACGTGGGTATTGAACATCCGTTCAGTCAAATGATAATACAACATTCTTAAAGTAAGAGGGGTCGAAAAAATCGCAAGACCAGAAGTGTCCATCTTAACTGGTCACTATGACTTGACAGAAGATATAATTATATTCAAATCCATAATTTCATACTTATATTTTAATGTTACAGTAAGTTTGCTTGTCTGTTTGTTTGTTTATTACGCTTTCACGACTAAACCACTAAACCAATTAAAAAAAATCTTTCACCGATAAAAAGCCACATTATCAGCGAGTAACATAGGCTACTTTCTACCGTAGTAACCAACACGCGGGCGGAGCCGCGGGCAGAAGCTAGTAATGATTATTTTTTGACAGCTACTGGAGAGCCGTCTTCGTGTGCTGCTGTATGCGTTACATTTGCGCTCAGAGAGGCGATTGCTGCAGCGCGCCAAGAAACTGGATTACCCACCACACAATGGTTTCAGATCGGTATGATTTACAAATAACTCTAATCTAATCTTTCTTGTGGTATAGGAGGAAAACGCACAGACGGGTCACCTGATGGTAAGTGACAACCACCGCCCCGCCCGTTGAGTGCCAGTAATAATGCATTTATCTTCATCTTCATAAAAATATAGTATTCACATCATAAACATTTAAATATTAGGTCTTAACCTACGTTGTTCGAAATTTGTGTAAATAATGACACAAAATGTTTAAAAAAAATGCCATTTTGACGGCAGTTTATTTATACCTTTACTGTGGAAGTCTGTTGAACGGGAGGCGATTATGTCAGCCAAATGGTTTTGTACTGCCTCTTGGGTATTTCATTTTAGCGCTCTTAAAAAATTGATGAAATTTTGCAAAAAGTGGAAATATGTTGGGGCAACGTTCGCTGAATACGGTGGGTGACGGAGAGCTTCCAGCTGTAACTCTTGTAGCTTTGCGATGGTCTGTCGTGACGTGTGAGCTCGTGCGTTGTAAAGAAGAAGCAATGGGGCAGAGCGATTGACCAGTCGTGGTTGTTGAATTGCAAGCTTCTCCAAAATTGTTTGCAATTCTTGGCAATTAAAATCTGCCGTCACTGTTGTGCCATTCGGTAAGAAGCTGTGATGTACAAGTCCGGCACTGGTCCACCAGACAGTCACCATCATTTTCCTATAGGTAACCTTTTTTTCGGCGCACCAATTAGGTGCTGTACCGGGGTCCACCCACTAAGACGAACGCTTACGGTTGTCGCATTAGATCCAATTTTCATCGCAGGTAACAATTCGATTTAGAATGCCGACGTTTCGAATTCCGAATTAGTAGTGCTATGCATGATTCGACGCGTAAGTCTCGCTGATGGTCGCTAAGTTCGTGTGACACCCACTTATCTCGATTTGACGCAAGTGCTTCAATGTTGTTTTACACTAATTCCAAAGCCCGCAGCAAGCTCAGCCGCAGGTTGAGTTGGATCCGTTTTATTGGGAAAGTTGGAGTTATCTATTAATGATTATGTGTAAAATAAATTATTGTCCACTTCAAATTAAAACATTCACATTCAATTCACACAGTGACAAATTATAAACGGTGTCCTGTTCTTCTAGTAGAACAGAGCCGTGACGTAATAGTAGTAAACTTCCAGATATTTTTATTCTAATACAACTTATTAACTGCACTGCATACAATTAATAGGATTTGTAACTTTTTCAGATGGACCTTTCACTACTGAAGCTGTTTTCATGGCTGCCAATACTAAAACAGAAGACTTCAAATATTAAGTAAATTATTATTATTTTTTGATACGTGCTTGTAACTTGTCTAAACTATTTTACACAAAAAGAAAAGAAGAATATTAGTGGGATTTCGGTGTTCGAAACATGTTTTTCATGAATTTGGGGGGGTTTGTTCTGGTGTTTGGAAAAATTACGCGTAGCCTATATCATGGTAATACATATATATAAGTTTACATTAATTTTTTTTCTTTATTCTTTACAATTTTTTAGATAAATACATTAATTTTAGGATCGTTTTTGTTTGTTTTTATATTATTTTGAGCGCATGTTTATTATCATTTAAAGGAAATTAAGTTATGCATTTATTGTGAGTTTTATTTTAATGATTGAATTGTATATTATACTGTTGATACATTATGTGTAGGTTTCATAGGCGTTTGCAGGGGTTATTTTTAATCTCATAAAAACAAAGTTATCAAATCGACACGAATTCATGAAATATTATTTGGGCTTGGTTGAAATTTACGTATCCTAGGGTTTAACAACATTTTTTTCTTTAATATATAAGTATGTTTATAGTCATGTTTGTGTCGTTCATATTAAGTAAATTTCGAGGGTTGTGTCTTTAGAATGGTTTTGCAAAATCAGCAAAACATGTGAATTAATGACTATTTGACCGCGGTCCAAATTATTTACCTAATATCTATGTCTTAACCATTTAAGGAATCCAGTGATGTATGTTCTGATTATTATATATTTAGTGTAGTTTTAGTTTATCATTGTGTGAGGTAATAACCTCCGAAGGTCTAAGCGAGAAAGAAAGGAAACATTAAAACAAAGATGTTGATTGTGCATTTATTTTATTGAATATCGGCAAACTTTAACAGAACAGTAACATTTGGTGCAGTAAACCAATAAACAGCAAAAGAAAAAAAATCAAATCAATACAAAACAATACAAAGTAATACCTACTTTGAAACAAGAAAATTTTAACAACAAAAAATAGCGAATCAAATTTCAGCAATCGTAGATCTCTAAAATTCGATCGAAACGTTTGGTAACCGATAAATGATTATTACCATGATTATTTTAAACATTGTAATACAGATAAAACAAATAAACAAAACAAATATGATTAAAGTATTAATTGTAAAAGGCTTAAGTTATGTTTTTATTTATAAACAGCTTCTAGCTAGATACTTTGGCTGCTAGATAACTTATCTAACTTTACTTTAATCCGTTAAAAATATCATCTGAGGGAAGAAAAGAGAGAAAGTTTGAAACGCTTTAAATAGGCTTGTGTCCACTTATTATAATTGCTTGGTTTACAGTTTCAAAAATATAAATATATACATAGAATAGGAAAAACCAGTCTATTTCTCATAAAAGTTAAAGATTATTAATATTTTAACAAATAAATTCGAACAAAATAGGCTTTAAGTTACGTGACAGCGAACACCAATCAGAAAGTGTTACGTCACGCCACGCAAAACATCATTGTTGTTGCTGACGTTTTTATACAACAGAGCAGGTTGCTCCATATTGCTTTTAATTTTTAGCATATTTTCTCGACAATACAGTTTCAGTGTTTCGCAGACTGTGACGTCATTCTAGACACCATGACACTATTCAGCGTTTTCAATCGAAATTTAAATTGGTTTTTTTTCAAACACAAAATACGTAATGTAAATATTGTTTTTTCTATAAAATATAGGTTTTTTGGGATAAAATAGATATTAATGTATTTTATTAACCAAGTTTTCAAATTGAGTCAACAAGCCTATTGAAAATCAAAACGTCTAATGCTTTATCCGAAAAGGATACCCAGACACGCAAAATATCAATACCAAAACTTGAAGCTAACTAGATTGCCACTGGAGAAATAAAAGTGAAAAGTTTGTTAAAAGGCAGCAACAGAATTTCAGCAATAGAGTTAAAAGTACGTTAATAAAATTTGAAATCTTTGACGCTTGTGTTCGTCGACATGCAAACGGCTTTGGTAGAAAACGGTCCATCTGAAAATAAAAAATATTTGAATAAGAAACACGCAAATACTGGTAGTTATCCAGAGGTTAAAATTCGATTCGATTTCGATTTGATAGCGATGAACTGCAGCAGCATGTGTTTTGAGAAAATATCAACTCGCTAGGTTAACAAATGGACGATAATTAACATTATGCATAGTAAAGTTGATTATTAAAACTATTTGTATCGAGTTACTTTTATTGTATTTTATATAAGACTTACCAATTTTGAACCAGTCTGTGGTAGGTATACCAGATTCTTGTCGGGCCAAGGCAATTGCTTCTCTAAGCGCAAAAGGTACACAAACTGCAACACAGGCGGCAGGCTCTCCAGTCGCTGTTAAAATAGTTTATAACATTTTTATTCTTCTTAATATAGTCATTAGAACAAAATAATTGATTGGACGTCAGAAGAACTTCAACAAATCATATAAAACCATGTGACAAATTGAAACCGTTCTTCACCATCACCATAATTTTAGTCCACACGAGGTTGTCCACTACTCTACATAAGCCTCCCTCTTTGACTTTTAAGAAGACAAGTTTTCGTTGGAATAATGACCGCAATACTACAGTTATTATTATTTAATTAAAATAATAAAATACGTCCCAAAGAGGTAGCCGTGATACAAGTAACATAAAAAAATTACACCGGTTTGCCGTACCTTTGGATCCTAAAATAGCATCAGGACCAAAAGATTTTTCCTTCAAGTACACGTTGAACGTTTGTGGAATGTCTCTTGCTTGCGGTAGAGTGTAGTGCCAGGAACGGTCGGTGATAATTCTGCCAGTTTCTGGGTCATACACTAACTTTTCACAAGTCCAATACCCCATAGCCATTATGAAGCCGCCTTCAACCTGTATATTTATAGATTACGAATAACGAATGTATCTACACCAGCATCACTCATTAAAATTAACAAATGTAAAATATGCACATAGTCTACTTTTCAGTTCCCGATATACTTATGTAATATGATCTTATCTGGCAAGTCTCTGGCAAGGGCCAGAGAAGAAGTTGTCGAATGCAAGAGTAGAAGTCGTAAAAAAAGAAGTTAGACAGATTATGTGAAAAAGGACTAACAAATACACGGCGTCGACCCAAAGAGCTAAAGATAGGTAATTGCTTAGCTTACAGCTAGCAGGTTTTAAATTAGCATAAACAGTTAAAAATTATAATAATATCGTGATTTAGTAAGAGCTTGTGTCCAGTTTATATTCTGAAACTAGACTTAACACCTGTTTCTCAGGCACAGGTGCACTTTCATCATAATATTAGCTAAAACACTCAGTAAATAGTCAACAAATTTAAATGGTTATTCCTATTTTTAACGTGTACGTGAGATCCTCTCTTTGTGTATTTGGTGTGAGAGAGAGTGAGAGGGTGTACAGACCCTCTCACTCTCTTTTGTATTTACTGGTTTATACTGGTTTCTATCATTTTTTCTGTCTCTTCGTAATTACATTCTTTCCAACAAATTCTGATGTATACGTATAGGTGAGATTGTACTATTTTATCTTTAGTTATTTGTATGTTGAAAAGATGTTCTTAATACTTACTTGTCCAATATCAATGACAGGGTTAATAGACAGTCCTACATCCTGATACAGGTCCACTCTTAATATTACGAACTCCCCAGTCAAGCAATCAATTTCTACTTCAGATAAGGCTAGTCCATATACATCGTAATGTTGTATATCGCCTGTGTTAACAAATCCTTGCGCTTGAAGACTCACATCAGAGTTATAAGCTGTCTTTATTAATTCTTCCCATGTTGGATTAGTTAAAGTATCCCGGATAGGTTTCAGCCTCTCGAGTAGCTGTTCACAGCACCTTTTTAATCCAATTATTACGTTTCCATGTGTAAAACTGCCTCCAGTTACGAAACTGTTCGGTGCAATTGTTGTTTCGTTAGGTTTAATAACAATTTTGCTGAGTGGCACACCTAATAAGAAAGATGCTATTTGAGCAGCTTTTGTATTAATACCTTGTCCCATTTCAACAGCTCCGTGTGTGATTACAATCGTACCATCACCATGAAATACTGAGAGTGTTATATTAAGGCGTTGACCACCTGTTGGGGCCCATCTAGCAAAAGAAAACCTTAATCCACGTTTCTTCCATCTGTTTTGTGTATTAAAACTATCAACTGCGGCTTTTCTAGAGATATATTCCGCATCGGTTTTAAGTTTTGCAATCATATGTGTGAATTCATTGTGTCTCTCTTTATCCAAATTGCTGAGCCGTACCTCAACTGGATCCATGGAGAGTTCGTAAGAAATTCTTTCCATTACATACTCACTGGCAGCAATAGCTTCAAGAGTACCTGTGAAATATAACAGTATATAAGGGTAAAAAATAAATGAACTATTTCTTAAAACACCAGATTTTTTTTCATAAATTGTATTACAAATTAAACTTTGTCTACCTGGTGATCTGCAAAATGTATTTTTAGCCGTATCAGTAACCGTGTCATAGATCTTGTAGTTTATTTTAGTCGCGTCATAACAGTTGTTATATACATCAACTCCGAGTGGGCTCATGGTTTCATTTAATTTGTACCCATTATCTTCGTACATAGAGGTGTTAAGATATTGAATAACTCCTGAACTATTAACAGCAACCTAGTACCAGGAAAACAAAAATGTAATAACTTCAAAAACATTCATCATGTGATGATTAGCTTTGAAATATTGAAAATTAAGGATTAACTTACTTCATATTCATTAGTGCAAGGCATTCTTTTACCGACTGCTTGCATATTAGTAGTCAATGGTTGGATGAATCGACATGGGCGATGCAGTTTGTGAACAATCAAACTACAAGCGATAGCGCTTTGAATACTGCGGGAGATTTTGATACCAAAAGCACCGCCAATTCGACGTACATAAACGTCTATCCTGAAGACAAGAGTTTATTTTAGTCTTTTATTCCAATTTTATCATATACCCACACAATTTTTGTCCATGTGGTAACGGATTAAGAATGCAGAGTGTCACTACCCCTGTTCGTCCCATGGGTGTTATAAAAATCGGCTAAGGGAGTAAACTGCTAGGGACAATAGCACTGCAAAGAGAAAGAAAACTTCACAAACCCTATAGCAACCCGCCTGAACAGCGTGGCATAGTAAACCAAAACCTACTTTCTAAGAAAATACCTATGTCCAGCAGTGATGATACAATTTTCAAAATTCAGATTGTTTAATTTTTGTATATTTTATACTTAACTGATTGATTTTGCTCTGATAATGTATCAAAATGCACTTTTGACAAATATTTTGAACTAATACAGCAGCACATAAAGCTACGATTTGCTAAATAAGGTTATTTTTGTACTGTGTAAGCTTTTGTTTAGTTTGAAATATTGGAAGTATTTTGTTAGTACCAAACGAAGTTCTTGTTGTATTTTAATGTAATATTTAGCAAGTTTTTTACACTTGATCCACCAAATACTAACAGAAATTATTTTTTTTAAAGTCATGTTTCCTACGTAATTACTTTCATACACCGCTATCTGGGTCCATTTAGATCGGAAAATAATTCTATAAATACAAAGTTAAAGTTTTTAAGTAACTAACACTTAGAACATACGATCATCAACAACCAATAACAGTCTACTAGTGGACTTAGGCCTCTTGAGAACATACGCTAATAGGAAACAAATATATCGAAGCCAGCCATTTCGATACCAGAGTTGGGCATACCATTCTATTTCAGATTTTAAATAATTTCAAATGCGACATTTAAAAAACTACATTTTAAAAGTAAAAATAAAAATTAAGTCCAATCTAAAGAACTCAAAAACCATAACCCATCATTTAATATTCCATATTTAAGATTTTGATATTTAATCTGAAAACTATTTTATTTTGCTTATCTTATATATATCTAATAATAATATTATTAATGATACATGTAAATTTTCCTCTTGAATCACTCTCTCTATAAAGCAATTAAAATATTTACAACATTTACACTATTTACATACAAGCATCAAATAATCGCCTACTGGTAGCGTTCCCAGTAGACTGGCAGCATTGCCACGTTAAACGGCAATGCTAATTCTCTGCTCTAGAAAATAGCACAGCTAGTTGTTTATATATAGCAATTATACTCGGACCCCATGACCCTCCGTCTCGACCTTTGTTCAAAAATGTAATTTTCTACTAAATATTGGTATTTACGCCATTTGAGGATTTCTGCGGATGCAGCAGCAGCGGCGGTATAACCAGCTGTGCTTGAAAGATGTGATGACGCAAGGATGTCGACGCAAATTACGTCCCACACCAAAGGCTTACCCATCTTCCACAGCAGCAACGACATATCGTCCGGTCACTTCCCATTGTCTCGTATCAGACGCAGGTTAAACGCATTTTCTAAGTCATGATATGGACTATGTATTTATATGTGTATACTAAACGTATACATAATACTTACTTATTTTGGGGTACACCCAAAGCCCTTGATATCATAAGCTGTGTTCCGTCTATGAACTGCGTGGCTGAATGTACTTCTAAGCCTTCCTCCGTAGGTCTTGCTATAGTCACCAAAGTTTCCATAGAAAAGTGGTACTGTCCATAAAATGTGGAATCACCGTTGATCACTTTATGAATATCAGTTCCAGCGTTAGTAGCATCAGCAGAATAGAACAAGGTATTTCTCGCATCATCTTTTCTTGCCTCCTTGATGTCAATCACAGGTGTTTTAACATTAGTATATGTTACTTTGACATACTTAGTTGCTTTGTTTGCCAAATGCTTAGTTTCTGCAACGATAATTCCAAGAGGTTGATGGTAGTATTTACTGACGCCGTCAGCAAGAACTTCTTCATTACCACTAAAGAACATCATGTCTGATGGTGTGAAGGAATTAAGACCAGGAATATCCTTGGCTGTATAGAAGGCCAATACTCCATCGAGTTTCTGCGATACATTAAACAAAATATGTAAGTTTCATATAATTAGATTATTTATTATAAAATAATATAACAACTTCAGAGCTATCTACTAATTGTATTTGAACTTAAGACACACTTAATAGTACAGATACGAGTATTGCGTAAAGAAATAAGATCAATACTAAAAATATCACGATCTCATCGTTCTGTTCGAAAATTAAACAACAGCTGTGTTGCCAATGCTAGTAATTGTGGTTGTTTTTGGGAATTGCACATTATATCGTGTTAACTTATAAGCAGAATAAAAATCTTACCAATGCTTCCGAAGCATCAATTTTGACAATGTTCCCTATTGCAGTACTAAGAACAAATTCTCCAAACACCTCATTATTCATTTTAGGAGCATCTTCCGTATACATGGCTTCTCCTGAACATTGATGCTGAAAAGAAATATAAAAATACATCACCTAGGTAGAGCTCCATAGTATCATGAGAAAAAGATGATGAAAATATAATCGTACACACTTCATGTTTTTTAGTTTAGAATAATTTACACACTGGAGTCATAATTGGACAGGACAACTCACCAAAGCCTCCAGTTTATTTGCCTGCTCGTATAGAGGAAGTACGTCTTTATCAACTGCATAAACTTGTTTAGCGTCTGATAATCCCCTAGCTTCGTGAAGGTTGACCATCCCAGACTCGAATCGTGGAGACAGGATCGATGGTGGACAAATAGTCAGCAGACCCTGAATTATTATAAAAAGACAGCTGTAAATTTGATACAGAATCTTTACCAGCATCCAATTTCATATTGACAGATGATAAAGAGAAATCATTCAATCAAAAGGTACGTTTATTATTTAGTTGACCAAAAATTAATTATTATATAATAGTATGTGATATATACACAATGTAATTTTAATACCTTATAGAATAGTGCCTTTGCTACATGACTTCTGTATTCTGCTGAAGGTGCTGGTGGATTCTCTTCAACTACCAATTCCCCATCGAGAACGTTTATTGCAGCTTGTAAAGTTTCATTTTTGAAAATTTTCTTGCCTATTAAATATGCCTCCGTAGCCGTGGCTCTCAAAAAATTATTTGATAAACCTCCGTATACGATCCTGGCTTCTTTGACTGAATTACACTTGGTGAGTTTATACAAGAAGCCGGCGTTAATGATAGCGCGTGCACTTTGGGCACGAGGCATTAGCTGAATGAAATAACTGAGATTAGTAAGATGATGAATAATTTATATGACCAAAATGATAAACGTTTAACAAATTAAATGTTTACTTTACCTTGTATGAAACCAGCTTATATTCATCACCTAATGGTGGTAAAAGCACGTTGAAAATCAACTTCCCGTTCATATCCAAATTTAAAAAGTCTTGCATTGTATATACCTTTTCTGAACCATCCTTGTCCACTAGAAATAAATTTTGTTTTGCTTAAGTTTGAGAATCATTGTATTGTTTTTTAAAACAAAATATTGTTATTTTTAAAGAAATTTGGTCAGAGGCTTAAACCTATTTATACTACTATATGGATTTCATATTTTTGAGATAGAACAACAAAAAGATAAAACATTTTCTATAAAAGATAAGATAATTTATATAAAAAAAGGAAAAATAATAGTTTAGAAAACAATACTACAATATATATCACATCAACAGCCTTTAATAGTCCACTGCTGGACATAGGCCTCTCCTTAGAAAGAAGGTTTTGGCCTACTATACCACGCTGGCCAGGCGGGTTGGTATAGAGTTTGTGTCAAGTTTTCCGTCTTTTTGCAGTGCTGGTGTCCTGCGTTGTTTTGCGCCCTTAGTCGGTTCTTACGACACCCACGGGATGAATTGGGGGTAGTGACATTCCGTATTCTTAATCCATCACTACACGGACAGTACAATATATATACTATTATTATATTATATTATTTCATCCATTAAGGATTAAAAAAAATCAGCTCATAAAAATAATGCATTTTCATGGTTTTTTTTTCCATTTTTAAGCAATTTAATGAATTACGATAACTAATTCCAAACTGTAGTGCAAGCAAAACAGGTAAAGAGTTAACATGGGTTAGAGTTGAAATGAAAAATGGAAAAGAATGGCTTTAAAGAATTTGCTTAAATAATAATTATAACCTCACACATCTCACACACGGCCGTCTAGTTCCAAACTAGGCAGAGCCTGTACTATGGCAACCAGAGCGCTGATAAACATACTTATATATTTCTAAATACATACATATTATAGATAAATTACAACCAGGCACAGAACAAATAATCGTGCTCATCACACAAATATTTGTCCTGTGTGGGAATCGAACCCACAACCTCCGGTTTAGCAGTCAGGGTCACTAACCACTAGACCAACAGGGCCGTCAAAGCCCGGTAAATATAAATAATGAGAACTCAATATTATATCAAACTATCTTTTGACCGCGGCTCCGCCCATATAAATGTCGGTTATTGTGGTAAAAAGTCTATGTCTTTAATCAAGAATCAAAGTATCTTCACACCAAATTTTATCGAAATCGGTTCAGCGGATATTAATTCCCCCCATACAAATTTCCACCCCCTTTTCCCTCCTTAAAGGATGATTTCATGGATAAAAACTACTCTATGTCCTTTCCCGGGACGCGGATGATCTCTGTAACAAATTTCATCATCATCATCGAAATCTGGTCAGCGGTTTAAGCGTGAAAAGTAACAGACAGACAGGTAGACACAATTTCTCATCAAAATATTAGTATGGATATTAAAGCCTTAAGGTCGGTATTAAAACGATCATAACTATACAATTTCAACATACTTATAGTCAGCTGAGCTCCAACTGTCTCAAACAATAGAAATACATCAGTTGTATTGTTGTACTTATGTTTGATCATTAAATTGCCAGCAATAGTACCCACCTGAAATTTAACTTAGTTAGCATCTATAAGATAATTTTAAGACACTTTATTTTCATTGATGACGACCTCCAATTTCACATAATTTACCTCAGCAATAAAAGGCAATGCACATCATCATCTTTGTAACTCTAGTTTGCTGTATAATTTTTTACTTTTAGGTAACGCCATAAGAGGCAAATTACATATATTTTTATTTTAGGGTTCTAATTAACGGACTTAAGAATCGTGAGAGAGCTATGTTTTGACACAATTGGGCCGGCTGGACCGGAGTCATAACACGGTCTTACAGAATACCAGTGTTCAGAAACTTTTCTGTTGCTTTTACCGAGTGAGTAAGTTTACCAAAGAACCAGCCTCCCCTCCCCTTTTCTTTTCTAATTCTTACAACCTTTTTTTTTGAGGGGCTGGAAAATCTTTTCGGAACTTTCCTCGGGGACTCAGGAGTCAGGTGATTCCACTAAAACCATCCCGACGGCCAGCCTCGGGTGTCCTACCCTGGGAGGACCCGGACCACTGCCTTCAGGTGACCCATCTGCTGGTTTGTGTCGGTTCCATAAATAAAGATCAAAAACGTTCACTACGGATCACTTTTTTGCAAAGACTGATGAATTATATTAAAAAATGATGCAACAAATAAAAATAATATAAAATCTACTTACATTTCTAACAGGAATATGAGCAACCAACAACAAATGATCATGTAATTTTTGTAGGTAACTGAAGTACTCTTTAGTGGAGTATTCCTTAAGGACATCTAACATTTGTGTCAGAGTCAATCCAGCACCGAGTATCAGATTCTGATCATATTCAATAGTTTTCAGTTCCGTGAGATGTAAAATATCTACTAAATGAGGTGGATTTTCATCTCTAGGGGCTATTCCTAAAATCGAATAAAAAACCTAATTTATTAATGGATAATGTACGTTTTTTTATTGTGGATATGTGAATATAAATACAGTACGTAAGAGACGTCGTAACGAATACTGCAATAGTGTATTCAGACTATCATTCAGAGTCGAAAATCATTGGAATTTTCTATAGGAAAAATAAAAGTTTTATGCAATCAGCCGTTAAAAGTTAAGCTCATTCCTCGTATGTATCGCACCAAAGTAATAATTTGTATTCCGGGTAAACAGTCTACGCACACTAACACAAGTTGGCGGCTGGGGTGAAGGCCCGCGAGCTCCGACACTTTCATTAATTAAATTGCAGTAATTGACTGTGCAGTGTTTACTTAATATTTTTGTTTTTTTTTTAAATTAACCAAAAAGGGCGAATTATAAAAAAGTATGACTTTACCGCCAGAAAATTCCAATGATTTTCGACTTAGAATGATGGTCTGAATACGTTTACTATTTGTTAAGCTTTAACGCTTTATTAACTTAAAATTCAGTATTTACGTCGCCAAGAATATAGTCGTAGAAATTGAGAAATTGTTCCTTTTATTGAGAAAGAGAAGCATATGTTTACCTTTTGCAGTATTTCCACCCACAAACATATAATCCATTCCATACAACTCATCCCTTAACAACTGTAGTACTTCTTGAAGTCTGTTCGGTCTGTACCAAGTTTTCCCATCGTTCAGATGTATCTTCTTAATACGACTTTCACAAACAGAGTTTTTTCGCACGACACACCAGTCATCATCAACTGTGCAGCTATTTCTACAGGCTCTGGCATTTTTCTTACAAATCGAAAGATTTTCTATATCCTTTATCTTGAGTTCTTTAGGAGCATTTGTACCGAAATTCTTGAAGCATTCAATAATGGGCCTGTACCCTGTGCATCGACAGAGATTGCTTCCAAACGCTTTTTCAATGTCCAGCATCGTAACGTCATTGTTTTTGGATTCCAGAAGCCTGAATAATAAATCAGAAGAGTTTTTTTTTCTTAAAAGGAGAAAGTATCTTAAGATAAATTGAAGACACTTTATAGAAATCAAATGGATTTTTTTGTAGTTTTGTTTACAGGGCAATGTTTTGTGCGATGTTTAGATTAATAATTAGATTTCAAAAATACTTATTTTGCTTTTTTTCCTGTACTATTTCACGCTAATTTGTGGTCCATAAACTGGTAAACTATTAGCAATAGCAAGTCACCATCACATGCACCCAAATGATTATTCCCGAAGTAGACAGAAGCATATTAAAGGCCCACTTTTTCGGACTATTATTTTAGTCCCACTTATGTAGTAAGAATATTGCACCGTCTACAAAACAATATTTAATTAGTTTTTAGCTCACCCATTCAAAGACATAATCCATCCAGGCGTGCAGTACCCGCACTGGGTACCACCGTGATCAGCCAGCGACGTCTGTATTGTATGGTACCCATCCTTTCTGTTGCCTAAACCTTCGATCGTAGTAATATCCCAGTCTTGGCAAGATGTCACGGCTACTAGACACTGTAGGTGACATTAAAATGTAAGTACCTGCTCTTCTGTTCTTTAATTTTAAAGAAATAAAAAAGTAATACAATTTTGAAATACACACCAGTAAATCTTATAATATTTTAAAAATGAAAATACACATTTGGGTTTAAGTATGAAAAAATGTGTGAAATAAAGAACGATACATTTTAATAAAAGCAACCATAGTTTTAAACCCATCACACCCAACAGCGATTAACAGTCCACTGGTGGACTCTCCTTAAAAAGGAGGTTTTGAGCTGCTATTTCACGCTGGCCAGACGGGTTGTATAACGGTTGGTGGCCTTCTCTTTGAAGTGTGTTTGTCCTACGTAGTTTGCTCTCTTAGTCGGCTCTTACGACACCCACGGTATGAATAGGAGTAACACTCCGTATTCTTAATCCGTCACCACACAGATCTACTTTTACACGATAAATTGTTTACCCATAAAATTTATTTTAAACTATACATTCTATTAAGATAATAGAAGTATCCCACGATCCAATTTGTTGTTATCGCAGAATTGATTCTTTTGTTTAAAAACAAAAGCTAACACCCGCACCAGGAATATATCCTGTATCGAAGACTTTACAAACACACATGAAACAGACACAAAGAGCACCCAGACTCAGGACAAGAATTTGTGGATCACACAGTGTCGTTCCATGTGAGGATCGAACCCACATCACTGAGCGTAGTAGGAAGCAGCGTGGCACTTAAACAACTACGCCATCCGTGCAGTCAAGCCATTAATATGGTGCTTGCTGTGTTTGCCGTTATATTATAGTGTATACTAGGACTAACTGGTATTCCTAATCATGTATTAATGTAACATTTGTAGGCAAACCAATTAAATAAATAAATAAAAATTACAAATTCTTGGAGAGTGGGCTTATTCGCAATCTTAGTTGTCAACAAGTAACCATGCCTAAGTATGACAATGCAATATTTTTGCCGTACAAGTGTACTCAATTATGTTACTAAGATGTGTTCCAATAAACATCACCATCTGTGTAAATGCCTTTGATGCTTTCTTTTGTTTTGTCTGTAAATATTGTGATACTAATCGACTAAAATTCATAATTTAATGATAATAAGACATATGTATATTTTCAGACTCTATTCCTAATCTTCTTAGTATTACTATCCCTATGTTAATAATTATTTAATAACCAAAATAATATCGAGTATCGCATTATAAATTTCGTACCACAATGTAACACCGTTGACGCTACATGCTGAAATAATAGTATATGTAATTTTTAAAAAACTTTTCTTATAGATTGCGTACTACTGCTAAACTATTGATTTTTTTTCTTCAATCATCATCATTATCATCAATCATCATCATCAACAGCCTTTACTAGTCTACTGCTGGACATAGGCCTCTCCTTAGAAAGGAGGTTTTACTATACCACGCTGGCCAGACGGGTTGGTATAGGGTTTGTGTCAAGTTTTCCCTTTCTCTGCAGTGCTGTTGTCCTGCGTAGTTTGCTCCCTTAGTCGGCTCTTACGACACCCACGGGATGAATAGGGGTGGTGACACTCTGTATTCTTAATCCGTCACCACACGATAATCATCAACAGCCTCTTAAAAAGAGGTTTTGGCCTAATATATCACGTTGGCCGGGCGAGTTGGTATACGGTTTGCTTTAAGTTTTCCTTCTCATTGCAGTGCTGTTGTCATGCCCAGTTTGCTCCCTTAGTCGGCTCTTACACCCACGGGTTAATAGGGTTGGTGATACTCCGTATTCTTAATCCATCACGGATGCGATAGAACTTCTAACCATAGAAGATTTTTTTCAAGAATTTGACGCATCAGGAAGACTGGTCTTTTCCTTATAATTTCTATGAAGTCTTTTGTACTGTTTAGCAAACCTTTCTGAAAAATTATATTAACATAGCAGCCCTTTCTTTTTTTTTTTTGTTGTCGGGTGGAAAATCCCTTCGGATCTCCTGCTCCTCGAGGACTATGAGCTAGAAGTATGTGGTGATTCCACTAAAAACCACCCCGACGGCCGGCCTCAGGTGTCCTACTCTGGGGAGGACCCGGACCATGTAATTTCAGGTCCTCCCCGAATTGACACCATGCCTAATCAGGCCCTATCCCAGGGGAGATCACTTAGCCCCTCAATCGCGGCAATCTCTTTCTGGAGCATTACAACTTCACAGAAAGAGACCACTGCGCCCCATCCCTCCTCACCCGCCAGCATGGCAGCAATAATTGCTGGCGGGGAACATAGCAGCCCTAGTAGCATCCTAAAACCGTTATTATTGACCATTCGGCCTCCGAATGGCTGATTACTCACTCACAATTACTTGCAGGGAGACTTCATTTTCAGCAATAAGACCGTCCATTTTATTGATATCATGAATTTTAAATAATTATGTTTAACTCTTGTCCAATATATTTGTTGTTTGTTATAATTCAAGTTTTTAATTTTGATTTTCGATATCTCTAGGTCGCACAGTTGCTAAACGAAAACAAGACTGAATTCTTGCGTTTGTATCGCTAAGATTTTATTTAAAAATTCTCTATATAAAAATAATTTGAACAGAAAATTTGATGAAAAAAAAACAGGTTAATTACACAACGAAAGCAGATTCGATCAACTTACAGCATTGACTGATTTGGAGGGTTCTCCGGGTGATACAGAGGCATTGACAGTACAGGCACCACAGACACCCTCGCGGCACAGGTATTTAGTGCCGCGCAACTCTAACGTGTCACGAAGGTAGTCGACCAGCATCACCTCGGAGCTGACCTCACCTCCAACTGTTTATTATTTTATGAAAGAAATTACTAGATTTTAATCAAGAACAATCTAAGTCTTCAGGAGGTACCTTTTGTTTTGCGTTCTCAAGCCTTATTAAAGCTTCTACTTCATGAGAAAACTGGCTATCTTCTTTACCGATTGTCTAAGCTCATCTTATCATTAGAAATACAGGCAATAAGCGAGAGAGTTAATCGCATAATATATTAACTAGTATATATTACCAGTATATTATCTAGTGCTTGCCTTTTTTAACTTATCGAAACCCAATCGATCCGTCACCCCACCGGGATTTACGGCGGGGCGGTAGGTCGAAATCGAATCGACTAAAACCACACAGTCTACCACTCTGAGCTTAAAATAGGAGGGATACGGGAACAGCTGTTATTAAGGCAACTGCCTCCTCCTAGCGCCTGGACGAAAATAACGCTGGCTCCAGCTTCGGATAAAACTCCCTAATTAGGCGACGTCCAGGTACACACGGACATCGCTTCCTCGCAGCTGGGGCTAGAGATTGCCTATCCTAGGCTTGCTTTTAAATTTGATGACTACTACAAATAGATACATGCAACACGAAAATAATTCTACGCGAAGAATCAACTTGGAATATTTGAAGTTTTTGTGTTTATTGATTTTAAAGACGATTTTTTTTTTTTCGTTTTAACAAAAAGACTACTATCCGCGTATAATTGAAATGAAAGAAAATTGCAAAAAAAAAAATAAGTTTTTACGATTTTAGAAGAATTGTATTTTATAATAAATTATAATTAGACTTGAAACTGATAGAGAGTGTTTATGTCGAATCCCCGGGTTAGGTCATCACCTCATCAGAGTCAGGGGCCCAAGGTGTTTGTCGGACTCGAACCGACTAAAACCACTCGTTATTCCGCCAAAAGTAATAGATTATATTGCAAGGAAGCCGAAGTAATCCAACAAGGAATCCTACCGAGCACGCCTACAAACTTAGACCGACCAATGAACACCGCGCCACCGTCTCAGACAGCATGTACAAAATAATAGTTTAAGTTAGAAAATAAAATTTAAATTCTTCATAATTGTTTGGTATTTACAAAGAATTTGGAAGAATTTTTAAAGCAACTTTTAGATGAAATTTTTTCTTAAATTCTCAATCTGTGGTAATTATTGTAAACATGTGTAGTCGTAATAATTAAATCTATATAAATTACCTTGATATTCGACTCCATTTACTTTGAAATTGATAACATCACTCATGATAGCAGCGAATTTTGGCTTGCGTCTGACTGACTTTAGGAAACAGCTTACACTTTATTATAAATACGAGAGAGAAAACGCTTCAGAGGCATCATCAATAAACATGCTCAAAACACCTGTATCCTTATTTGTTCATATTTTATCCACATTAAAATTTGCAGAACAAAAATGCTGAATCATGCAGTTTTATTGCAATAGTCACGTTTTATTTTAATCAATAGTAATAATGACACGGAACAATTGACCCATATGACTCCAGAAACTGATCTGCAAGGTCCGTTTTTCATAGTAAATGAAGTATCCTTGCATATTTCAAGCGTGAGCGTACGTCCCCGTCAAGATAATTATGCTTTACATGCCGATGAAAACTGAACAATAACATCAAGATAACTGAAAGTGATGACTTGCATTTTTAAAATAAAATGATGACAGTAAAAAGAATGTCATACCTATAGTTAATTGTGCTCCAACTGTTTCGAGCAGGAGAAATAAGTGAGACTGAAATTCTTTGTGCCTATGTTTGATCATCAAGTAACCAGCGATTGAAGCTTGTCCGTGTGGTGATGGATTAAGAATACGGAGTGTCACGACACCCACGAGATGAATAGGGGTGCTATTCATCTCGTGGGTGTCGTAAGAGACGACTAAGGAAGCTAACTACGCAGGACAACAGCACTACAAAGAGAAGGAAAACTTGAAACAAACCCTATATGATCCGGTGATCCGCACGGTGAATCCATGAAACGCTAAGCAATAGGTCTCGGCAATTCAGAGAATTCTTGGCACAAAATATATCTTAAATGTCTCTAGTTCTATGAAGAAAACTGACTTTTCTTTTCTCTTCTCTAAAGGAAACGAATTTCGAATTATTTTTTATTTGTACAAGAAATTACCTAAGCTAAAAAACGAATACTGCAGTGGGAATGTAAAGCATTTTAAGGTACCGTAAAGCGTAAGTATGAGTATGGTGAAATTTACCTTTAGCTGTATTTCCACATCTCTTCGGTGTTTAAGATAAAGAAAATGTCGTTCACTGTGGTAGCTCTGTACCATGTCTAGTCATCTTTTAAATTCATTTTAAGAAAATTATATTCTAAATCTTTTGCAGGCAAAAAACACCAATCATTCTCATTATTCTCACACAAATTTTCACACATGTTGTTAAATCTTCAACGTCAGTGATTATAATTTTTTTTGGAACGTCTGTAGCAAACCTTTTGAAAGCATCCAGGATAGGTCTATAGCCGGTGCATCTACATATGTTACTTGCAAATGATTATTCTTTTTCTAGCAGTGTAAGATACTTTTTGCATTGGAGGATGCTGAAAATCAAACTAAATTAGTTTTTGTGATAAATGTGAAGGAATGAATGAACATACCTGAACAGAGCCATAATCCACCCAGGGGAGTAGTATCCACATTGGGAACCATTGTTTTCTGCGAGAGTCTTTTGGATAGGATGATAACCCTTGCGTCTGTTACCTATCTTCTATTGTAGTGATTTCCAAACCATGGCATGTGGCAATCGGTAACATACACTTGAACGAAAAAAGTTTTTGGAAGTTTGTAAAACTAACAAAATTTATGAGTTAAGTTAAGTAGTAATAAAAGCAAGTAGTAAGCTTGGTGGAAGAGTTTTTCTAGAACATGTCACTGGAATGGGAATCTCTTGACTAAACAAGTAAGTATATGATGATCACAGTCAAAAAGAATAGGTGTGTTCTTCTGATTTGCTGAATCCAGAACTTTTAAGAAAGGTACAAGAACAAAAACATTTAACAAAATATAATAGACCAAAACTTTTTAAGGAAAGCGGTATGTCCAGCAGTGGACTGTGAAAGGGTGTTAAATATCAGTCTCGATTTTTTAGTGTTTTACGTTTTTTAATTGCTACTGGTTGCAGATATTTAAGTAAAATCAACTGGTGTCGTAATTTAGTTATTTTGTTTTCCAAAAACATCGAGTTCACTAAATTGATACTGACTCAATAAAGCTAGTTTATTTATTTGTGTACAATTGGCTGATCTCTGTTAAACTAGGAAGTTATGGGAATAATAAATGATAAATAAAAAGGTTTCCCACTTGGAGGAATGCTCCAAATCTGTTTGATGGACGAAACATCACGTCCAGGATGCTGAATATATTTTCATATTGACGAACCCAACATCGAGATCTACTGTTGATTTATATATTTGTGCTGTAAGACGTTTCTTTTTGCCAAATTTCGTGATAATAGGTCAACGGGAACTACCACATAGGTTTTCGACCCAAAACCTATAGGGTACTTCCGGTTGACCTAGAATTGACAATTTTGGTTAAAAGCAAGGTCTTACAGCACAGAGAAAATTCTAGTTTCTAAAGAACAATGGCAGAAACATTTTTACCTAAATATCAAGCGTTTAAAAAATTTATTCACAGTAAACTTAATAAATATTTTTTTCTATGATTTATCATTACGCCACCATGTGTGGTATACCACATGTAATGATAAGTAATGACAGTGACAGTAATGACTTATAAGTCTAATAAGAGATCGGATATTTTTGAAGATTTTATTTGACTAAGTACGTAATGTCAGATTCGCCATCACGTATAACCGACTAGGGATGCGTGATGGCATTATTTTATTATGAAACGTTTTATCGATAATCTATTTTTAAATGTTTGGCTGAAATATCTGCCGAAGGTTCACCTTTTATGATTATGAATTTGCTTCTGCCCACGGGTTCACTCGCACAGTAGAGTAACTAAATCAACATAATTAGAAATAATTTAGAATATTTTTGACTCTTTTTAAACGATTTTTGGTAGACTAAATTAACAGAATAAAGTTACGTTATTTTAACAGTGTTGTGTCTTTTTTTATCACACTGTGCAGTATAACAATATACTGCACAGTGTGGCTCATAAATAGACATACATCGATATTTTCAAAATGTCGATACGTCACCGTTTGGATCCTGTCGAGTACCGCACTCACCAGTCTTGTCGTTTGACACTCACACGCATGACATTTCATGACCATTGCCTACACGGCAATTCTTTGTTGTTTTATTTTTGCAATGTATGTGCAGCATGTATGTTATGTTTTTCTATTTTTAATTTCGTAAAGTCGATTCGTATAGCCTGCTATGCATGATGTGACGCCTTAATATGTTGTGCATTAATCTCAATATAACGGATGCATGCTTATTCACTAAATAAATAAATAAATTGCTACTGCCTTATGTAAATGTGCATTGAAGTACAATTATTCCAATTATTATTTTTAATTTAATCATTATTAATTTTTAGTAGTAATAGCTAGTATTACACCTGCTTGGTGAGCAACGTTTTTTTCTATTGTTTTACTTTGTATTTGTAAAATAACCTGCACCCTTTTAGTGATTCGGCTAACACTTCCAACAGCTAAATAGGGTTGTTTATGAGTAATAATAATGAGAATAATATTTTCGGTTATAAGAGACACAACGGCATCTAGGTTTAAATAAAACATTGACAATATGTTAGTACTTAACCTCGAAACATTCAAAAACAATATCTTTTTTCCTAGACTTCTATCGCTAGTAATTTTGTTATGAGAATGGTCAAGAATAAATTCTCAAGTGTTTTAGACATTTTTAATATTTAAACGCTACCATTTCAGTTCAAATAAAATTATGTATGGGGACCTGCCATTGTCCTTTTGGTACTTACAAGTTTTCGCGAAAATCGTAATTTGCCCATATCTTTTTATCGTGTTGACTCAAGACCTTGATTTTTATACACCTAATAGGGACTTCAGATCTCAGTATCTGGTATAAATTTCGACTTGACAATACCCTCATCTTTAGAAAATACATTAAAAGTTTCTCACTCACTCAAATGCATTTTTCTTTACGTCAATCAATCATCCAATATTGTATAACCTGATGGGGTGGAGCACTAAAAATTATTATACTGCCACTATAAAGAGCTCAAATAGCGATTCTAAAAGTAGCCACCTCCCGTCCTTTCCTATTTCCCAGGACTATATTATATAAATAGTGCAAGGTGATGACTGTCCACTAAATTTTCATGTCACACAGTACTAAAACAATACACATTGCTCACCTATCACCCTGATATTTCTAACAAAACACGAAAAGATATGGTCTGATCCTCACAGTCAGGCTTATATTTTTATATTTATTATTTTTTATATATTTTTTGTACGTGTGAAGTATAAGTGTTTAATATTTTTGTGTAATTACACAGATATAACTTAAATATGAAATTATAAAAGATACATAACGCATGTAGCTTTTATTAGCACAGTCGCGGCCTCACATCTGAGTCGCACCGTCCAAGCTCCGGCGGGGGCGGCGGAGGATGCCGCTAGTAGGAAACGATTAAAATACGCCGCAATGCATTATTATTTTGTGCCCATTGCGGTGGCGACTTTTGGCAGTTGGGGGTCGTAAGCTAAAGATTTAATTGCGGAGATTGGTCGCCGAGTTAGGGATAAAAGTGGTGACTCCCGCTCCGGCTCGTTTCTGGTGCAAAGGATGTCCGTTGCAATTCAGCGAGGCAATGCTGCCAGTATCATGGGCACCTTTGCACCGGGAGCGACGCGGGGCGGGTTGTATGATCTACCTTGAATTGTGCGTATTAATTGCATATTATATACTTTGTTTAATTAAATATATATTATAAATTCAAAAAAAAAAGTAAAATGTGGTTAAATATACAAACGACCGCAACATACAATAGATAAGCGGTCGTACTACTAGAAACAACGTAAGGCAAGCGGTACATTTTTCACTCTCACTTGAATTCATACCATGATATCTAGAATTACTGGCACACAAAGCGAATAAAATCAACATAGGAAATTTTATTAGCAATAAAATAAATATTAGAACACTGATAAGAAAGTTATTTACAACTACAGAAGGACGAAATTGTGTAAACTATTCATGTGACGTCTGACTGATAAATATAACAAAAATATATAAATTTATTTAATTATTTTTTTGATT